TATATATATGAAGGGCAGTCTTTCAGATTTTGTAAAGTGGTGTTCTGAGAAAATGTTACAAACAATGAATATCTTACCTGTCATAAATAATAATTAATGAACAACAACAATAATAATTCTGAACAACCCCAGTTTGGCAATAAAAGAGTGTAAGTCTGATCGATTGACAATCTAACAGCTAATCTGAGTGAGGCCATGACTAAAGTAGGTTGCTTCCACCTTAGTGGGGTTGTGGATATGCTAATAATGTTATTTTACAACCTTTTAGGTTTATAGAATTGCAATAGCATGAATAAAGTTTGACTGTGCATCAAGTGTGAGGTGTGGACAGGTGTTATTAACATAATCATCGTCATCATCACTGAGTCAATTAATCTCTACATGGATAGAAAAATCCACCTTGGTCCTGGCTCTGCTCTGACTTGTCAATCTGATCAGAAATTTCCTAGATTTCTGAAACAGGGGTTGTTTAAAAAGCTATCTACAACAGATAAGATATTATTTGTTCACAAACTTTAAGCCCTATTAACATTCAAAAGCCTTTTCTACTCTTTATAGCAACCAGGTGCAAACACTGCTTTTGCCTCATCACAGTAATCAGAATTCATAAACCTGTTTCCAAGGTTCTTTCTGAAACTTGGCCCACATGTGAGGCTGATGCGTTCTGGGAGGCTGCTGTGAAGCCTGCCTCTCTGTCTCCCTGGGGACCACTGTCCACACCTGCGACTCGTCACGCTGTTGTAAATTCATCCATCCCACACTCTGCTCATTGGCAGATTGTTTTCTGTCACTGGTTGGTAATTATACATCCAGGCATCTCTGGTAATCCAGAGCTTTTCCTTTTTTTCCACCCTCTGAACGAACCTCCATGTTCCTTCCAAGGTTTCAGTCTTAATTACCGTTCTGCCTGCCTTTCTGGCAAAGCCACACAGCAATTAAGCAATAAATCCTTGCTGTTTTATTTAACCATGTCTGCACTTGGGTCCTTCTCCATAACCTGTTAAAGAGGGGTTTTAAACCTCAGTCCCCGGGGGCCCACCATCCTGCATGTTGTTGATGTTTCTCTGCTCTCAAACACCTGATCCAGATGATCGACTTACCTCCTCGGCATGTCATTAGGTTCTTTAGAAGCCTGGTAATGACCCTTTTATCTAAACCACATGAGCTTAAGGAGGGGTCCATCTAAAACAAGCAGGACAGCGGGGCCCAACAGACCAGGGTTGGGGACCACAGCGGCCACAATCTTATCTTCAACATTTTATAACATCTTTGCCATAATTTTGATTTTTACTTTCTGTCGATATACTCTAGATGCAAACAGGTTATTTTCTGATTTTTAGATTGTGTTGCATACTGTATTATTGCCCTTTATAAAAAAATATTTAAATTATGAATATCTGCATCTGCCACTGAGTGAAAAGACAAGTTTCTAAACATGAAAATCCATCCACAGCAAAACATAAAATAATGTGTCATTCACTTTCAGTAAACAGAAGCATGGTCTGCTGCATCTCATAATAAAGTTGCCAATCAACAAACACAATACCCTGATTTGATTCGTCTGATTGCGAAAGTGCTTTGGCTCGATCAGCAAAGTGATGATGATTGGTCGTTTACAGTCCAACTAAAGCAACATGAGCCATATGTCTCCTCCTGACACTGACCAGGATTTGACACATTATTATAACACATTTCTGTGCAAAATATGTCTTTATGTGCTGGACTGTGCCTGCAACTTTTTTGTGTTTAGTTTTATTTCCTGAGTTAAACATATTTTAAAAATTGGAATAAAATTCCGGGTTTCGTTTCGATATATTGATATATAAATACCTTTACGGATCCTAATCTGATCTGAACACCATCAGGGTCAGAGAAGCCCTCGAGTTATCTCATTTCCCACCTAGAGTTGCTTCCAAATTTAAGAATACGTCAACCCACTGTTCATCAGGAGCGTTGAACCTAAAATCAATGCTGCAGTAAAACCATTAAATTTAATCTCTAGAGTAATGGAGTCAGTATCTACGGGCTCCTAAAACAGAAGCCATTATTATTCTTTTTTATTTAGGCTGAAATGTCAGGTCTGCCACTTAAAGCAAGGTCAAATCTTAATCTTTACTCCCTAATAAAACAAATAAAACGTAGAGTTAACTGGGATGAAAGGCACACAGAGACACTTGAAAATACTGTATCATTTTTAAAAGTCTTTGGATCATTTCTGTAAAATAATTCTGCCTGAACAGTTGGGAGGAACAGAAAAAACAAAAAATAGGGTGAAATGTAGCTGGAAATGAGGTGCAGATCCATTTTCATCATCCTTTGTTGCAGGTTAGGACAAAGTTGAGCCATCTGGCCAGGCAGACAGGAGCCTCCTATAGCCTCAAAATGCAGGATGAGTCATTTGGAACATTCCGGAAAGGATTTTAACAACCCCTCCCCCCCACCTTGTTTTTAATTACACACTATCCTATTCCTGTCTCAGGGTGAGAATTCCACAGGTAATTTAACGCCGCTTGGACGCACGTCAACCTCCACCTCACCGGGAGCTTCAACCCTCTTAAACATGTCCGAACGGCCAACACACTCAGCACACACACACACACACACACACACACACACACACACACAC